TAAAAACGGATGGGGACAGCCCGTCGGGGCCGAAAGCCTTATGCCGTTTGAGGTGACTTATTTCCCGGGTAACCTCCATTTCAGATGGAGGACTGATGTCAACTGGCAGTATTTGCACAGTTGAAAACTTGACACTGGCTCCCAATGGATTGCGGTTTACAAAGCGCCCCGCTGCCTTGTGGGTCAGGCTTTGGCTAACCGAAGGCTCCGGGTGTGGATACCACAAGGAGGTTCATCTGACTTGGCCTGGGCAACCTGGCAGTAGTCAGCCCAAAAGCCAATCATGGAACTTTTTTTCTCTAAAGTTTATTGTGTCATAGTTTGTTTGATACAGTCTGGCGTCAGACGAGTGTGAAATGTAATAATAATAATAATAATAATAATAATAATAATAATAATAATAATAATAACGGTGTCGTCAGTGCCGGTAAATGTGCCTATACGTTACAAGATACTTTGAGCTAATTACACTGTCTGTAAACGACAAACAATATCAGAAGACAAACTACCTAGACTATCACCGTGACGCCTCGCAACTCACAGCTATTTATTTTGCTGTACAAAAGCATCGGTCGTCCACACGTAGAAAACTGAGCTGATATGGGCTTCTTATAACTGGAGGGATACTGAATCCTTAGATTGTCAAACAGCTACCCGCTAGAATGGAAACTGGAAAACAGAAAAGGCGTTATGAATAGTTACTCATAAATCCAAGCATCTCCTCTCGAAAACGGAGACAGGTGAGAGTAAACCTGACAAATGTTTGTAATTGTCGAAGGGCTATTGGGCCTAAAATGTAACGATCTGTTTCTGCTGGTCCCATATGTGAGCTCTAGAAGACAACATACTAGTACAGAGCAACCACTTGAGTTGTAAGTTGCAATACGGTCAGTGCTCTTAGAAACGTACTTGACTAGTGCTGATCAGAGGTAAGTGTTCAGCTCCTTGAACATATTAAACTCTGTTATCACGGGATATGATGCATCATCAAATTTTTCTTTTCAGAAAATATTGCTTGTCCACTTATTTCAAGCCAAGAAACTCACCGCCTAAACAAACTTGATTCTCAGTGGACTCGGACCACAAACCGTCCTGTAAGAACTACATTTAACTGAACCGATCATCCTGACTATCACCGCGTCCCATCCGGTCTACACCAGTTCCTATCACGTATCACACGAGAAGCCCACCACCACCTTGCACAATGTAAGATATTTTTTCCCTATGATAAGTGCAAAAGGGGTAAATGTATGAAACTGTTGCAAGTGCAAGTGTACTTCAGACATGGTGCGCGAACGCCTCTTCATCACGTGCGATCGCCAAATGCTGCAGACGTGCGTTTTGTATATTTTATCTTAAGTTACTTCCTTCTAGGCTTTCTGGATACCTGAGCTGGCGACTGATTATCCTAAAGCAGTTTATCCGAACAAAATAGTAGATATTTGTTCACAGAAGGAAGTCCCAAATGCTTTGCAGAGTAATTTGCCCGTTGCATACAAACTGCCGGTATGCGGAAGTTGTTTTGACATTTTTCGAACTCTATTTGAAGGGGGGTCTTCGCACCGGTGAATTGACGACCGAAGGTCAAATTGATGCTTACGAGCTGGGAAAAAAGCTCAAACATTCTTACATGGACCAACAGGCTTTTATTTCAGGCACATTGGACACGAAAGAGATTTAGTAAGTATTATTCATTGCTTTTCTAAATTCCTAGTTTGAGATCGTCTTTGATTGGACGAACTTTAATATCAATTCGGTGTGTTGCTGCAGGAATATATGGAGATACTTATCACGAAACTGGAGAAAGTAGCTCACTTCAATTCAAATGCTTTACTTTGTTTAGCGGAACCTTTGATGATCTATGTTGAACCTCTTGACCGTGAATACATTTTCCCTAATCCATCACAATGCGGTATTCTCGGAAAGCTCTACAGAGAAGGTATAGAAGAGTCAAAGAAGCTTCGTAATCATTTGGAGATGAAACGAAAGCTAAAAGTGATTCTTGGTAAGTATTTCCAACCCTTTTTATGGCGGACCACTTTGTTGAACAATCGTTATCTTTATCTCTGATATAGTAATTGCTGTCTCAATCTGGAGTATTTGTCTTGGATTGATATGTAAATGCTTAGATAAATACGTTAGTATTTGGTCTACATACCCTCCGTGTTGAATCTCTATTCGTTCGGTTGTTCAATCGATAAGGCAGATATAAATAGATCAGACTGTCTTATCACCTTTCTTTGGAATTTTAACAATTACTGAAGTGCCCCGACCAAAGGAGGATGCTTCGCTATTGCAGATCAATCAGAAGAATGTGTGGGAGGGATGTATTAGGTTAGAGATAAAAGCTCTTCGCCCTTCTGCTGGGTTTTCATCTTCATTAGGGGCTTTCATGTTATCCTATTTGTGAAGTTCTGCTACAGTGCTTGATATACCAGGCACCTCGTAGTCTACGTCGCACGGACCTGACTGAAGGTTCCCAATTTAATTGCTTATATGTGAGTTACGTTGATACAATAGCCTATTAAAATGCTCGGCTCCTCGAGGAATTTTGTTTTCCCTTTTGGGAAAACGCTGTCCGCCTTCGTCGTGCAGGGAAGCTTTTACCGGTTTGTGTCTGCTAGATAAGAATTGAATTAAATGATAGAGTTCTCCGTAATATCCTGCAAGGGATTCGGTTTGCATTTCATACGCGATTTCGGGTCGGTAGTTGCGAATGGTTTTGCAACGGAAAGTATTTGTACCGTAAATGCTTGCTATCTTTGCTTTCATAGACAATCGTTGCTTTTTATTCGATATACAATCTTCTTAGGATAGTGGTGAGACCTCAAGTTCATTAAAGATTGCATTCTGGATACCAATCTTCAGCATGTCTCTCGTGTTCACCTTGCTTTTCACCGCATTGGTTAGCAGAATTGTTGGTCAACTGCAGAACCATTGCAGCCAAGGGTTTCAAGCTTTTTGGAGGCTTTTACGAATCAAAACTGATTTCACCTGGACGATGAACTATGCGCTAAGTCGTAAGAAATGCGCGCAGATCAATATGCGGTCTGTACTCTGATCTTTCACCGTTTCAGCATCCCTTTAAGAACGACAGTTTTGCATTGAGGATGTCCTGAAACCGTACGTATCTAAGCTGAGTTGATCCCTTATCATAACGAAACCCTCATCGAAGTATCAAAACTCTATCACGACAGTTACGACTTTGATACGCTAGTATCCCGTAGGATTCAGTATAAACACTTTTAAGCATTGTGTCTGTAGGAGGGGGGTTGGGGAGGAACGGTGAAATCTTTTGATATATTTAGACACTCAGTGTCTATTGGTAAACTAAATACCAGTCCTTGGTGCTGTATCGAACATTGAAGAGCAAATAGAACTGGTAGCTAATCGAATTCGGGCTTTTTCGTGAAAAATCTGCACTGTGCACCTCAAGACCATAAGTTTAGTAAATTGCTTCCCCTGTAGCTTTTCATACTACTAAGAACGTTTTCTGAGTATGACGTGGATCATACATGTTCTGTTGATATGATGCAAACTTTTTAAGAAATGTCGGTTTACTAATCATTGATACTCACCACTTTCGTCAGGCGTGGACAGATTGGTTGATGACTTCAGACAAGAGGCATTTCCTGGAGATTGTCCGATTTATTTTGTCAGGGACGATTATTTGTCACGTCAAGTGAGTTTCTATTTTTGTAGTGCGGCATGTGGCCACAATCAAAGTTTTATATAATTTTTTTATGTACACACTGAAGGCAATATTTTTTTCTAAAATCTTTTTATTTGATCATCATCCTATTTAATATAAAATTTAATTAGATTTATGTGTTTGCATATTGGCATTTTTTTGAATTTTATAAATGTGATTGTTTTGTGCTTTATGACTGGTTATGACTGGTCCAAACCTCAAAATTCAGTTATTAATGGATAACACAAAATTGTATCGCACTTTGTACTTTTTCACAGTAGACTCAAAAGCTTTACCTTTTTTTCGGAAAGGATTGCAATATTCGAATCTGTCCTCCGGATCCAAGTTGAGTTATTTATATTTTATACTTGTCCGGGCCCGAATCGATGATATGCGAAAACCGCGGTCTATTAGAAACCGGCATATAATCAGTCGGTTTGTACACCTTTTGGGCAGGAGCTCACGCTTCTGGCGTGTCCAACGCACTGAGTCGATCAGTCAGGCTTGTTATTATTGTTTCTAGGGTATTCTGGATACTGCACATATATCTCTAGTAGGGAAATTAGTGGCCATTGTTTTTGAAACTCCTTTAAATGACGTAGCTGCTGTAACCCATTAATCTGTTCATAGCCCTGGGTATCGGCTTGTTATCTTCCTTAGTTAGTACAAAACCTTGACACAGAAAACCGATGAGTACAACCTCTTTAGTAGAGCTAGTAAAACCAGATCAGTAGAAGACATTTTGAGAGGAATTAGTTCCCGACGATACTGAGGCATTTCAAGTTGAGTCAAGTTATCGAATTATGCATATTGATGGACAAACATTTAGCAAGTACATAGCCACTAAACAATGGGGTTCTTAATATTATACGGGAAAGATAATGATGAACTACTTTTAACAGTTTGCTTCTTTGGAAACTATTGAACTAAGTAACTCTGCGATGACTGCAGATGGCCAAATTTGACTCGGTAACGCTGGTCAGTCTGAATGTGAGCTGCTTTGCACCGTAGAAACGCATTTCATTCGAAGTGTCCTGGCCGGTAATTATTCTAGTAATAGCAACACTTAAGTCTATAGTTCACAAAGTGTATGGTTGTCTGGATAAACTACGACCTATGCGGGAACATAGGTTCTGGAAGGTGATCGGTCAAACTTAACAGCACTTATCCTACATCTTTGTCTACAAGTAACTGAGAGTTAAGTTTGTATTTACAAAAGCAATTACCTTAGATGCAATGGATTACAGGTTTATTAACAACCTGTCTAGTTTACCCACAACATTCACCAGTAAGCCTCACTTTGTGTGGATGAATGTTTTGCAAACTAGAACGAAGAGGGGACAGGGCGAAGATTGGTTCTCACTGAGGTCACATAGGAGTTTATGGAAGGGTATTCTGTAATATGCTATATAAAGTGATCACTGGACACTTAAATGGATAGTTAACAACATCATGATTTTGGATATGCTTTAAGGTTTTAGTATATAACCCTTAAAAGGAATATGTATATCTGTGTGTATGATAACCAGTTTGGAACACGAATCAGCATCACTGTATTTGGCGGAATGAAAATGTTTAAGGGTAAAACAAAGTACCAAGCGAAGGACAGGAGGGTGAGTCTTTTGCTTTGCACGACAAGGGTCTTTTTATTCTTGGTAATCTTTTGTTTTCTTTTTCGTTTGGAGAAGCTGTAGGCGCCTGCGATGGACGTTTTTAGCACTTAAGCCTTTTGGTTTTGAGCCATATTCTTTAAAGTTTCATACTGATAACACTGCTCTACCCTCGATTTCAAATGGGGAAATGTGAAAAATTTGAATGTTCCGTTACCTTCAGGCCAATCACGATGATTTTGCTAACTGTACCCATGCATCATATCAACCATGGGGACGCCCTGCGTAGTACGCTTCCTAATCACAGGAACTGTCATATTGTAGTCATTATAAATTATATGTTCCGTATTTTGTTTATTTATATTAAGAACCAATTTAGGGAATAATATTCGAACATAAGTTTCAAGTTTTAGTAACGGGTTTTTTTACCTAACAGGCGAAATTCGGAGACAGCTTAACAAATCATGTTATTTTTCATGTTACCTATGAAACTGTTTGAATTTATGATATGATGCCGGATGCCACATCTATGGGCTTATTATCCGTTCCGTCTTTTTTGATTCTCCACTACCCCATTTTGCGTTATAGCGAATGGGACGGACCAAATTCTCCCTTCATATTCCCCTCGTAAACAACTATTTCATCATCACCAGCCTTTTTGTCGCATAAGCCATGACAGATAGCAGCTTTTGCGTTAGCTTAATCGGGATCCGTTTTCTCGTGGATTACAGAAGTGTCGTTTTGACAAATTCGTAAAAACATTTTCATTTTTATCTAAAAGCCTCCGAATGAACATGTGGAAAATTTCTTTTTTTACTTTAGGTGTGTTGTTTGTGTATGTGACTTAGCGAGCATTGATTGTTTTTCGTTCGACTGTAGGTATAGTGTCTACCGTAAGCTAACACATTACTTAGATCGGCAGAGCGGGTTTCCTTCGAGAGTCGCTTGCGTATTGCAAAATATGAAAACTTTTATGGCTTACTTGCTCCGGTAGTAAAATTCTGCACAATATGTGAACACCATTCTAAAACAACACAACGTGTTTTCTTGAGCTGGTGAATAATCCGTCCGAAAAGAAATAAACTCGAACTTGTACAATTTCGGATCCCTCGTGTGCCTCACGGTTACTGAAATTCGTCATCAGTAGTGAAATTATGTTTTGTCCCTCGTCTAACTGGCGTTTGCATCATAATCGTAATTCGAAGTAACTCGATTTACAAACCATCATAATCTCTGATTCAACTCTATTGAAGAATGCAGATGAAACGGAGGACACTGAATTTCAATGATTGAACACTGAAAAGTAGAATAGGGGCGCGATAAAAAAACTACTATATGAGCGTCCACTCGCAGCCAGTCTTTTCTGTCGCTCCGATGCATCTTCCAATTCAGGCACGCTTTGCGACCTACACCAGCTGCTGTGTATTCAGACCCAAGTTGTTCAACACTCTCCTTTGTGTACATTCGTGTTGTGAACACTTGCAGCTTACAAAACCTGCTACTTTCTGTTGCACTTAATTTGACAGGTATGACTGTATCGTGGAATTCGTACCGCAAACACTGAAAATGCTACTTTTGCCGTCGGTTAAACTTTTGCAACAATGTTGCCCATCTGGAAGAACTGTCGGAAGGCAATTCATTCTATTTAGTTAAAATGTTAACCAAGCAAGAGCCCATCGGTTGATAAACCATCTACCGGATTTGAGCAAAATTGTGGCCATACCATACAGGCGTTATCAGGTCTATTCTCTCAACCAACACCAATAGTATCCGGTGGCAAAGCGTCTTTGAGTGAGCGAAATCTGGTGGAAAAGTCTTAGAATAAGTTCACGGGTGAGCAGCTCACTTTGTTGACTTTTCTTTTTCTGGTCTGGCCAATTTGGTCGTTTTTGGCTTACGAAAAACCGTGAACTGATTTCTTTGTATTGTTTTTTGGCAGACATTATGGACTCCGAGAAATATCAAACAATGTAATTATTAACTTCAAGTACCAACCCAATCAAGATTATTTTGCTGTCTGCTGCTAAGCTGCTCACATCCCTGAAACAAGTTCCCCACCTTGCCCGAGTATTCAGTGTTTTACTACCGAACTGTCATCACTTTTGGCATTTCACATTGATGCACATATACCAAGGGTAGTTCGAATCTAAGTCGTTGCGTGCAGGAAAAAAGCTAGATGGTAGTAGTAATCTTATCTTTTTTTAGAATTCTTGTCCTCGTTCTCCTCCCTGACAACATGCATTATTTTAACTTTGGCTGGATATTGCCCAACGAAATTGCCCCGGGTGTTGTTAGAATTTGGTAATAATCTGTCAGCTTTGCCTCACTGAATTTCACTGTACAGTGGTCATCATGACTCCGGTTTACCCCACTGTAAACTTACGAAGTTATGCGCTTGCTTCGTTTGTAAATAGCGGGCAAAGTTTCCATTACCTCCGGGACTGGATCTCCTACTTCCTGAAATGCACCGACTTTCAGCCGAGGAATTGTGCTACGAGTTGTTGGGCAGTAAGAGGTAAGTTTCATTCGAAACAGAAAATCGGTACCGGATTGTTTTGGTGGTTTTCATACTCATTTAATTTTCTCACTTTTCCTCCACCATACAGAGATTGGGTGTCACATCTCCCGTTGGTCATGGCGCCTGTGTTTCAGATGATAGTGTGCAAGATGCGCAATTTCGAGAAGTGAGTTCCATCACCGTGCAATCTTCCTCTACTATGCTACAAAACTGTCATTGATCAAACATCTTTTTAAGGCGCTACGATATAGATTTCCCTCTCTACTGAAGGGAGTTCCGTTCGGGTCAAACCGATAGACTACCAATTATCCAATTTTGTAAAAACCTCCCTTATTTGAAACTCTCGAGCATAGAAAAGGAACAAATTGCGAGACACCAGTCTTTATTTTTTTCATTCGTTGCACAAACATGATGTTGAAATTATGATGTCAAGCATCAAAACAACATTGGTAACGGGCTTGACACCCTTGTTGTTAGATTTATTAATTAAAAGGACATACGGATGCCTGCAAGCCAGCCAATTGTTTCTGCGTATATGAGTGCAGTCTTATTGCCAACATCAAAAACCGGTGTCCTCGGGTTCCAAATGACAATTAACCCGCGGTTGCAGAGGTCGAGCATACCGAAATTGTTTTTCATACTAGCGTTTTAGTAATTGGCGGTAGCAGTCACTTCTCCGTTCATTCAATCAGCTATCGGTGTATCCTGTACACAGACGCATCATCGTGAAGTTAAACGAACTAGTAAACCATGTGAGATAATCAAAACAATACATGTGTCAGAATGCCTAGATTAGCTCAGCTAATTTTACCACTCAATTCGCCGCCATATATACGTCTGGTCAAAACGTTGAGGGTACTTATGAGACACGCCTCTTTTTCGAGTTTGGCTTCACCATCCTAAAATTCACGCTACTTTAAAAGTTTCATCAATTAATATTGATTATACATCGTAAGAACACCAAATAACGAACAGGCATGTTTGCGGTGATTAATCTACAGGCTAGTACGTCACAATTTATGTCAAAACGTTGATTAGGGTGAACAGATCATGAAGAAAGTAGGAAGATCAATAATCAATATTCCAGTTCCATGACCGGGTTTTGCTCAAACTTTACTCACCACACTTACACATTGGTTCGGGTCATTAGGGGCGGGTGGGAGGGGGATGACCGTGTCGTGTGTTGGCCGTGAAAGACCGAGTGTTCCTGCGAATCGCTTCTGGGAGCATAGTGGAAGGGGTAGAGATTATGTAGGCGGATTCCGATCGCTTCCGTTGCGGTCCGAATGCGACTCCTCGATCAACGATTGTGAACTAAATAGATTGATCGAAACGCCTTGGCCACATCAACCACATGGTTTGACTCCATTAGATGCGGAAAGATCTGGTTGTTTATAGATCTTATCACTCCACTCTTCAACCAGGCCGAGTGGTGTTCGCGGACTCGTTTAGGTAAACGTCTGCTCTTGCGGCCAATATAACGTGTCCTATAGGAACAAGTGCATAGGGAATGAGACTGCAGGGGCAGAAATAAAGGTAATGACGGTACGCGTCTGCTAAGTAATAGCTAGATCCATGTTGTATCAAAAAACGATTTTACACGTGACGTTCTTTGAACTGGGTATATTTTTTAATTTTAGGTCTGTCTCAGAGTTGTAGATTTGGTTCATAATAAGACTTAATAAAAATTGACAATCACTTGTGTTTCAATACAGAGCATGGGTTACCGTGTTCAGCTAACTATTTTGTAGTTCATCCCAACACCCGTTTCCCAAAACCTAATTTTTATCCATGATCAACTGTGTGTTTACGTGTTCCAGTTCAATTATTCCTTGTATCTTTATTTTGCTAATGCACAGTTAAGTTTTTACTACCACTAATCTTGCCACGTCGTGCGACAGTTTGGATTTTCTGTTCCTCGGTTAACCATTTGATCGATCACTGGGTTGGAGTACATGGAAGAAATTAAAGCTAGTAGCAATCAAAATACAGAAATAGAAGACGAGTGAATTAAATATCTGTGTCAGGACTCAATAGGCGTTCATCGGCTCCTGCTTACTGCTTCCAGCTTTAAACTTGCATTTACTCCTGTAGCGTAAAGACAGCCACAGCGCAAAAGTGCAACGTTAATGGTTGTGAGAACACCAATTTGGAGGCGAAGAATTCTTTTCATTGATTCATCTTCTGGCCTGTACAGATCAAATAGGAAAATGGCATTTTGAACGGGGATAGTCATTCAGTCATTCAAAAGTCACGGTGATTGATTGATCCCCATTCAAAATGCCATTTTCCTATTTGATATGTACAGGCCAGACGATGAATCAATGGAAAGTATTCTTCGCTTCTAAATTCGTGTTCTCATGTTAAAATGGGCATATTCTGGAAGTTAATGGTTGTGTGAACTGAACTGCTTCTAACTCTCCTTCCCATTTTCCTCATGCTTTTGTAAACCAATTCTCCGCTGTTTATAACTTTTTTTGATTATTTACAATTTATTGATGTCTAATAGTTTCATTTATTTCAGGGAGTTTGGAGTTGTCATGACTAAATGCTTCCTCTACAAATGCAGTGATTCATGATTTTATTTCGTTACCGTCCATAGCATTGCTAATATCTCATGTTACTTAAAAATTTGTCTTCACTGTCAAACACAATACCATTAGTTTGATACACCGGATCACTTTGATCCTAGTCAAGAGTAAATATTAGACTACTGGCCTTGTCGTTTACACCGGATACATTCGCAACATTCCGTTACCATCTTTTCTACCAGTTATCTGTGAACAAATTGGACAATGATGCTGGATTTTCCCACATTCCAAGTTGGGTTTATTCACTTAAGTCGACTGGAACAGAACGATTATTTTGAATCCTACCCTTTGCATGAATACACCACGCATGCCTCTGCTACAGTGCTTAACGTTCGCACAAGCCGGTTGCCACTTTAGATTCGGTTACACTCAGTCGAACTACAAATACACTGTCCCTTCAGTTGCTTTAAATTGCTAATGGATCAGTTCTCTTATCGTGAGATTCCCACGTTATCGTTGTTCGGTCCCCGTCCTGCGAGATCCGTTCAACAAATTACTACTGTTGGTAAATAAACAGAATTGTGCACTCGAACGGTGTGTCGTGGTTCGAGGGGGCTCGTTCTAACTAACGTCACTCACAGCTGGTTAGGTTTATGTAACTTGACCTTGACCTGTTTTGTTTACCTGTAAGCTTATCTGGTGTTTCATTCTCGATAATAATTCAAAGTTTCATCCGATAGGCGAATTGTCCGAATCGCTCGAGCACGTTGAATGTAGGTCGGTCAAATAGAAATGCTTTCATTTTATTTGTGCAGTTTTTTATGCTAAACATTTTCGTTGTTGACGGCTGTTCAGTTGATTGAACTTCATTCTGCAGCTGTGGTTCAGTTCATTGCAGTGCTGTTACATTTACACTTTTTAAGCACTTCTCCGTTTGAACGAATCAGTCGGTAGATACACACTGTGGGTTAGAAGTTACCTTACACTCGTCCCTGAATACTATCTAGGTCAACACCATTCGATCTTTTCTTATCCCTGACGTTTCATTTGGTTAGTGTTCATTACCGTCTACTCTTTTCGAACGAACCGAAACCGTTTTCCCACGAGATGAGATACGACAATTTTATATTTGTTTTTTACTCGGAGGGAAAATACGTGATCTGGTAGCATCTCACGACATTCGTATTTTGTCTCTAACGGAAAAATACTGGCAATGGCTACGGTTTTGAGCGTTTGTCAATACCGTTGAACCTCCGAATTTATTATATCGATTTTCTTGTTTGGTAACTCCTTATCACCGGTGTACAGGGGGTGCGAATAGTTCATTGACCCCAGATACCTTTAAGAACACTCTATCCTTCTGTTTTCATCTGCATGACTTTGCTGCAGTAATTTTATGCCGGTAATGTCTTGTCTTTCGAATGAATTTATCAGGCTAGATTTTCTTAAGATTTCCGATGTGTGAAGTGAGAGATTACCACTGTCACCATTACCACAACTACCGCTGATAATGAAATAATAATAATAATAATCATATTGATATCAGTAATAGCCTTGCGAGCGGTCGTGCACTAGATGGTTGTAAAGTACAGCCATTATCCCGGAGTCGCAGAAATCATCGCATCTGAAAGAGCACAAATCAGAATTTGAAGAATAACTTTGAATCCAGCTCTTTGTCACAGGCTCCGTTCCAGACATATGCGTATGCATCTGTGCGCGGACTAAAACCCAGATATTCCAGGGACTGCGATTTAAGTGTCACGGAATAAATGTCTACAATGTGCACCTTTGATGCCAATGCGTTTTTTACGAGAATAAACGGTGAGAAATTGACAAGAAATTCGTCCAGTAAACAACCACAAGTTCAAATTCAATATAAACTGGTTTTTTATCGGATTAACATGGATGACGGTNTTTGGCCTTCAAGGCCAGCGCTTTGATGAGCGAAGACCTTAGCCGCTAATGGGATTGCAGAGTGGCCATCTGATTATGTGTAGATCAAGTTAATCTATGCGGCTCGATTCGGCCTTATCGACTGTTTTTATTTTTAAGTTCGTGGTTTTGATTCACGGTGATGATGGTGGTGGGTGTGCATCATTGACAATATGGAACAAATTTAGGACGATTTTGCAATGCTTCCCGGCATTGCAGGAGAGTTTATGCCATTTCTCGTTCGTTTAGAAAAACTGTTCCGCACGATAAACCACATGATATTTGCGTAGTTTGCAGTCCTTTTCGTTTTCCCAGGAGTCACGAGAAAATAACAGTAATGATTTAGCCAATCACGACAAGAAGTATTCACGTGACGCTAAACATGTGATGAATAGCGTTTCCCCCGTGGGGAGTTCTGAACACAGGTAAAACCTGCTCAACGCGGACGAACATTCACAGAAGACTATGCAAAAGGTCACTCCTCCCTGCACTATTATTTCAATTTCGATTCTTCGAAGATAGATGTTTGTTGAGTAACCCTGAACTTAGTACGTCAATAAAAAGCCAATGAGGAACAATATTGTTGTTCTCTTTAGCATCTAACGAAGCACTTTTTACACGGTTGGGAGTATGCAAAATAGTTCGCTGTCACAGTATTTCTCGTACAGGCTAACACACATAAAAACTTCAAGTATTGGTCAACGACGCTCATTTGAACCGCTGTTATCTTATCATCAGACTTGCACGGCTATGAGCCACGTGAAATTCTTCATCAGGCTTGCTTACAAGTCAGATAGTTCCACCCTGAGTACAGTCTTCACCCTTAATAGTTTACCGCTAAGTCTTTGAATGGTTGTTAAATCATTTCGATATGTTCTTTGAGCATTCCTCAGCATTGGTCTGTATTCCTCGGTTAATGTTTTTTGCAAAAACAGGAGTCATTTGAATGACGCAAGCAATTGGTGGCTTGATTATCCAGTTTTATTACTAACAAACGGATAGACCCGGATAATCTTTATTTACAACCTTGGCAACAACTCCGAAATACCTCATGGGGCTGTACTGTCCCCATGATTATTTTCCACGTATAATTACCACACTTTTTATATTCTGTACATGTTTTCAAGTATTACAAAATGATGTGATATAAAATGTGACGTATTAGCCAGTTGATGGATCACCGAAAAAAGCCTTTTCGCTAAACTGCGTTTTTCATTCAATGTGTGTCGCTGATATATTACAATGGTATTGTGTTGAGAGAAACCATCTACTCTTCTTTTGGTCCAACTTCTTTTATTCAAATTCAACTTTTCTCTTCTCTCAGTCGAGTTTCATTTATTATCCCAGCAATTTTTTAAAAAACGTTTGCAAAGTTTTTCACGCCCTTTCTTTCCCACAGACCACATTATTCTTGATGTAGGGTTAACCCTGTCAGTTGCTTTGGAGTCACTATAGATAATTGTCTTCACTACAATACAACGCTCAGTTTTCGATCAGCCTATACGCTCATGTAATCATTTATTGATTTATGCCTACAGACTTACACCATACGATTTTTTATTTCCTTCTAATAAGCTTTATCCTTGGACTAATAATAATAATAATAATAATAATAATAATAATAATAATAGTGCAGTCCAATAGATATCAGTTAAAGAGATTGGGGTTCGTATTTTTCCGCTACGCTTGTTCATTCCGCAGAAATAATCCTCACCAGATATTCCTTGGTGACAATTGGCCGATTTTATTGATGTGCTGTTAATTACATAAACCGAAGGAATTCTGCATCCCGTAATCATTATATTTAGTTTTTTTTCTAATGAAAGTTAGACGAGCAACTCATTCCGTGGTATACGATTTATCACTTAAGATTTGATGATAAAAAACAGGTAAAGTTGATTAATCAGAATGATGTTCTGGTTCTCGTTTTTCTTATGTTACATTAGGTGGGTTTTTAGGGCGTCCTTGGTCAACCGGTGTACCAGTGTTATTAGACGTGACGAAAAGAATTGGTTGATGTTATATTTGATCTGTCTGTGAATCATAATTAATTACCAGATTCTTCATTTAACGGCACCGTGTATGTCATTCGTTTCAGTGGACACTCCCTTCGTCTAAGTTAATTTGTGGTTTATGTTTACCGGTGTCACATGAACGAGTAGTGTCCACTAGTTGAGAGCGTTACTTTTCATCTCCGCTGGTCATAAATAATTTTCGGTTTTGCGGTTAGACCAGATCTGCGAGCAAAGAAAGGATGACTGAAGGGTGTATTGAATAAACACTGGAGTGAGGATTACTGTTCAAGCCACCCAATTCACCGACTTCACCGCAGTTTGGCGTCATTCACTCCCGTGGGTAGTATCCTCTCTCATCTACATTCTAAGTAACGTGTGTCGAAAAAATTATGAATTTCGAATATCCAATCATCTTGTAGCATAGGGCGACGAGATGCCAATTCGTCTATGGCTTTTAAAGAGTGAACTGGTAGATGATACAGGTTTGTTAGAGCAACGTACTCGGGATTCGGCAGTTGAGGATTAGCGAATGGTGTGATANTATATATATATATATATATATATATATATATATATATATATATATATATATTCTTCCAATGATTATTCTTAGTTTGAAGTCCCCGACCTTGAAATACAAAACGACCCATACGGCCTCAGTTGCCCATTGTGAAGTAAAAGAATCCGCCCAAACCGATGAGTAAAAAAATTCTCGTCCTTTTCCGCCCGAAGAACTGTAATTTATTAAGCAGTTGTTGGACCCTGCGATCGCATTGGGTTCTATGAACGGCTTTCAATTTATTTGTGATTTCGACCGAAGGAATATTTTTCGGTCACATCGAATAGATGTTGTGTGCTGTAGCTATTCATTCGATTTTTGGCGGTGCGTGAAGAAATTAAATAGATTCTATACCTTGTCCGAACCGCATCACCAAAAATGTCTTGTTTGTATCTCCTTTGTTATAGAATCCGTTTTTGATTCGGTTAGCTGGCTTCGTTCATGATACTGCCTCTGTAGAGTATCCAAGATAAGTTGCGTTATCTGTCAGATAATGAGAACTTTATTTCACCGGAATAAATTACGCATACGTCAATCTAGCAGCCCGGAACTGTGCTCACTATCTCCTAGATGCAACCAGGCCACCTGATTACTGTGAACAATGAACAGATGACCTTTATTGAAATTCGCGCTGTTGTGACATCCGACGATTTGTCAAGAATCAAGTGTATACCACAGCAGTTTCTGCCAATTCTGCTGTACGGCATAGAGACTTCGCCATTACGAAAACAAAATACAAATAGATTGTTGGTGTTCGGAAACCGCTTTCAACGTCGCACTGCACGAATTTGGTGGGGAAACCGGACAAGCATTTTTGAGGTTACGCGCAGTTTTAATTATTCCCGGTCGCCACGAGAGCATTTCGTCGACCTCCATAGATTGCGTTGTTTGGAGCATAAGTTGCGCATATCGCCAAATAGTTTGCCACGGCGCGTGCTATTTTCCGAGGCAGGTGTTGGCTGGAAAAAGTAAAGGATGGTAAAACATAGACCGTGCATGCATATATGAAAACCCTGAAGAAGAGACGCGTTATGCTTCCTGGATTGAGACATCGGAATCAGCGTCGTCAGTGGTTATAGACATCGAGCGATATGGTTGAGTAACGTAAACGATAGCGCTGGTGCATCTTCTCAGTTTCCTTGCAAACTTAGTCTTCGTAAATGCTCTTTTTCAATCTGATACTGATTCTAATATACCAATATTTCCTTCATCCAAATGAGAAGTTATGAGGTGGAAACCAAAACCGGCGCACGAAAGTGCGTAGTTAACGGTTGTGAAGACGGAGACTGTTCTAATTCGAGAGCTTTACCCAAACGTATCAGTTACTCTCCATTCATTTATACTTATAAGCAAGCATTCGTATCATTTTAGTCCTAAAGAAATACGTGAAAACCGCAATTTTTTCGTTACTATGTATGAAAAGCCGTTAATAGGCAATAGCAAGACCACTTTTTCGAAAGGGAAAATGGTCTTTAAATACGCTGACAGGATACACTGAAGTAAAAACGATCGGTAATGGTGATGACCGCTCGACTTATAGTGGTGACCTGTACCACCTACGCACTGTAGCTTACACGTTGGATATTCAAGTGAAAGTCTCTTCTTGACTACTCCTTGTCACCGAGTCCTTTTTTCTAGTAATTTTCGCTGTTCTAATGGATATGCTACTCGTGGATTTAACTCACAGATTTCATCGTAGCAAACGGATGTAAATGTTTATTTCGGTCAGACCGTGCGACTCAACTTTCATAAAACATCATTCCTCTTTTTTGTGTATTCCGGTCTGAAAAGTCCTATAACGTGAATCATTTACATTCTCCTATACCGTAACTAACAATACTGAAACGGAATATTCTCTTTAGTTAAAATTGCGGGCATCATAAATTATGCTGTTTCAAAACGTACTAATTGTTGTCTCCTTCCACGTTTCCGATAGATTTTCTACCATTAATAGATTTTGCTTACATACTCTCTATTGTATTCGTGAGATATTGAAATTAATTCTAACAGATCTGGAGGAAGCACCTTTGCATTCTATTTATCCACGTGAACGAAATGTACCCTATCAAAAACTAATTTGTTGTGGAATCCGTTGGCTATGCGTAAACACTTATGATATATTGTTAGGTTTAGAAGTTGTTCTGTGTCGCATCAAGAAGTACCCAATCACTTGCCTTCTGATCCATCCTACCCAGTCGAATTATACCTCTCTATTTGTTTACTTTTCACGTCCCTTAATACATCAGTGATCCGGTGTGAGCATTTGAATGTCAAATGTAGAGGTGATTCGCTTTTTTTCATTTGTCCATGGCTTACCGCTACAGTTTTCGCTCATCACGTAACTATCCACCAGTAGTTGAAAATTTTCACCTCTCACATTTGAAATACTATAAATTGTTTTGCTAGAGCGACTTGTGATTTGAGTGACTAATCACTTCGATCATTGTTGTGTTCTCCTTCCGTTTTTTTAATCCGGAGCGCTTTCCAGCCGTTCTAATTGCCTATCCGGTAGAACTGCCGCACCTACCTCTGGTTTATCAGGTTAGGTTTTAATAGCTCCTCTTAGTCTCCTCGATACTCAATTTTTTTAAGTAGGGCGTAACCGGTGAAGACTGAGCAATCACTGTAATTGGTTCATGTTGCTGTTGAAATGAGCATCATCAGTCTTATTGTTTGTGATTCACATGTTTTGTTCCTAATATCAATTATTTTGTCTCTCTCACGTTCACTTGTTTTAATTGATTCCCCCTAGCGTCCCAAAATTTCAGCTATATGCTTGTCACGACTCCACGTTGATTCTGTTGCTGCTGGGTCTGGAATGTTTTGACGGTCAGTGGCCACCATTCGCCGCAGATATCATTCTGGAGTTGTACTGTTCTAGCGAGTCACCTAGCCTCGATTTGAGCCGTAAAGGAAAACCACAACTAACTGAGTGTCCGGACGAGACTCCGAGTCTTGTGGAACCCGAATTAGAACAGCCCATTGATCCCAGTGATCTCTGGATTCGAGTTCTGTATCTCGGCCGCGTGGTTCCTTTAGCCTGTTTATGGAAACTAAATTCAGTTGATGTTGAATTAACATCTGACGGGTATGTTCCACTGAGCGCTCTGGTAGACCGATGGTCAGAGGCTTTGAATTACAAGCCGCCACCGGAAGTGTCCCAGAAATAATACTATACGAGTCATCAGTGAGACAGACTATGTCGTTTGATTTGTCTCGTTCGTTTGGTACTCATTGCGTTCGCACACCATCTAATTCTCATCAGTGTGCGCGCATCTTACCAATTTTGGCTCTCCCGGCCCGTAGTTCTAGTCCGTTCGCACTGTGACACATCCCTCCTATTCACGATTGTTCACCAGTTCTGCTCAATAATTTATTTTCTCTAACATTCACTTTGATGCTTCTGTGATAGCATTATGGTTGTTCGTTACTTCTCTGTGTCTCGATGCATTTCATGTTAGATGTGTTCACGCGATATATATGCATGTTACTTGGAGAGTCCTGATTATCGTTTCAATGCACTGACAGTCCTTCTTGAACATGGTGGCTGTTGCACGCCCTCAAATTGTCCTGTGTTATAATCTTAATTTATTTTTTCCGTTTTGATTCATTCTGGTCAGGTCGATATTTCGTTTTTATCCTGTATACTCACAAGATAACGGTACTACTGGTTTATTTTCTAATACGGCAAACAGAGTTCAACGTTTGGTAGCGCAAGGGTGAGGGTGACGAAGGTTGCGTTATGTATACGCTGCCTCCAAAGACGATCTTCTGGTTGTGAATATTCTCATATGGGTTACAAATCAACATTTCTGTACGTATTCTGTCCAGGGACTTTCGTTGTTTAGGCGCTGTTCCAACAGAACTCCGGTTATATGAATAAAGCATAAACGAGCGTTCGTATGAAAGCAAAACAAGGACTGTAACAACATGTATTGTGGATAAACCCGCACAGCTCAAAGGGAGGATACGGAAGAGCGAACAGGTGTGCGAAAAGTAAAAGCAAACACGCTTGATCCAAAAAGGTGGCCTTGGTCCGGTAAAACAATATACTGCAAAAGAGGCATGGTACATGTAGAAGGGAGGTAGCTGATGTCACTACAGTCGTTTGACCTAACTGGTGGATGATTGTTCTCAGATTCAAACCAAACATGATACAATTCGATTCGTCCTCGCTACGCGGTTTTACAAAGTGAATGGAATAGTTTTAGACTTCTTTGGTGCAATCTCTACCTCTGCAGTACAGTTGTGTTTTCAAAGTATTTTATTGTGCACGGAGCAAGCAGTATAGATTTTAGCATACAACAAACTTTTCGCTTGTCTTTAGAACGGTGGGTAGTTCCTAAAACAAACAATAAAATTTGCCATAGAGACAAGACGAGTTTAAGGTTGACTGTAATTAGTTCTGTTTTCACTAACCAGCTTATGGTCAAATTGCACCACATGGAGAATTGTGCGGTGTGTTTCTTAGCTAAGCGCTCGGACAACTATGGTAAGTGCGCAATTTGACTTCTACAGTGTCTCATACAATATTTTGACATTGGCATCTATGAGTTGGATGCCTAAAATGAAGTCATGTTGCATAACGCTGAATGAGACATATGCGTTTGTAAACATTGATAAAAACTGCGTTGTTAGAAAACGCGGTCTTCCGCATATATATATATATATATATATGTCTACTTGTCGTCTCTAAATCCTCTGTTTGTTGTCCACCCGGCTAGGAGTAAGAATAACAATCGGTTTTCTTTTCTTGACTATATTCAGTTGAAGGTCATGTTATTTCCTGAAAAGCAACAGCAGTTTAACCTTTCCTAAGCTCGAGGGTACCTAAAATCACCGAGCAAAACTGTATCTCTGGCTAACGCACCTTTCGAAGTGATCGAACCTTGTTGGAGGTGTTCTTTACTTGAACAAGCGTGGGAAGCCTAGCTAAAATAGTAACATCTGACTACTCTCGAGAATATCTGAAATCAGAGATTGGTGTACTGTCAAACTCACGCGCCGCTTTATGTGAACAAACTTAGCCGACAATGGTCTTAACCTGAAAAACGGCTTGAAAC